ACAGGCGGCTTGAGCTTCACGACAACCGGACTGAGTATGGAGGCTGCACGCTCGGCGGTGGAGAAGGCAGCGAAAGATCTGACTGTGCAGATGCGAACGCTGACGGCGGCCCAGATCCACCAGTACGACAGTCCCACCACCGGCTCGTTTGTGGACTCTCTCGGAAGATTTTCCCCGGCCACTGCGCTTACCACCTGTACTACCACCACGTGCGCGGCCGTACCGGCTGCATGCGGGCGAACTGCAAGCTGCAGCACGAGCGCCCAGATGACCTCGATGCGGCCCTCACAAGGCTGGAGGGCCCAGGGCGTGCCTGAACGCCGTGAGACAACGTGAGCGTGCCCAACCGCCACGCCGTACGACGACGTGTGGGCGTACCTAACCGCCACTCGTGTGAGACGACGTGTGAGCGTACCTAACCGCCACCCGTGAGACGACGTGTGAGCGTACCTAATCGCCACTCATGAGACGACGTGTGAGCGTACCTAACCGCCACTCGTGAGACGACGTGTGAGCGTACCTAACCGCCACTCGTGAGACGACGTGTGAGCGTACCTAACCGCCACTCGTGAGACGACGTGTGAGCGTACCTAACCGCCACTCGTGAGACGACGTGTGAGCGTACCCAACCGCCACCCGTGAGACGACGTGTGAGCGTACCTAATCGCCACTCGTGAGACGACGTGTGAGCGTACCTAACCGCCACTCGTGAGACAACGGGAGCGTACCTAACCGCCACGCCGAACGACGACGTGTGAGCGTACCTAATCGCCACTCGAGACTCGTGAGACGACGTGTGAGCGTACCTAACCGCCACCCGCGAGACGACGTGTGAGCGTACCTAATCGCCACTCGTGAGACGACGTGTGAGCGTACCTAACCGCCGCTCGTGAGACAACGGGAGCGTACCTAACCGCCACGCCGAACGACGACGTGTGAGCGTACCTAATCGCCACTCGAGACTCGTGAGACGACGTGTGAGCGTACCTAACCGCCACCCGCGAGACGACGTGTGAGCGTACCTAATCGCCACTCGTGAGACGACGTGTGAGCGTACCTAACCGCCACTCGTGAGACAACGGGAGCGTACCTAACCGCCACGCCGAACGACGACGTGTGAGCGTACCTAATCGCCACTCGAGACTCGTGAGACGACGTGTGAGCGTACCTAACCGCCACCCGCGAGACGACGGGTGAGCGTACCTAATCGCCACTCGTGAGACGACGTGTGAGCGTACCTAACCGCCACTCGTGAGACGACGTGTGAGCGTACCTAACCGCCACCCGTGAGACGACGTGTGAGCGTACCTAATCGCCACTCGTGAGACGACGTGTGAGCGTACCTAACCGCCACTCGTGAGACGACGTGCGAGCGTACCTAATCGCCACTCGTGAGACGACGTGTGAGCGTACCTAACCGCCACTCGTGAGACGACGTGTGAGCGTACCTAACCGCCACTCGTGAGACAACGTGAGCGTACCTAATCGCCACGCGACGAGATACGCCGGAGCGGACCGAATCGGTTTCGCCACGCGACGAGACACGACGTGAGCGGACCTAATCGCCACGCGACGAGAAACGCCAGAGCGGACCGAATCGGCTTCGCCACGCGACGAGACGACGTGAGCGGACCTAACCGCCACGCGACGAGACACGCCGGAGCGTACCTAATCGCCACGCGACAACCGGACGGAGCGTGAGCGGACCTAATCGCCACGCGACAACCAACCACATGAGCCCGTGACATACGGCACGAGCCGCGACATACTGCAGAGCAGCTGGCCTTGCATTCCAGCAAAGGGGGGGCGAACCCCACCAAGCCCGGGGCTGCTACGGCCGCCACCCTCCTACCGGGCAACGACCCCAACTTCGTCGATGGGCCTGTTTGAGACTCACTGGTATCGACTTCCCCGGCAATCGGCGCGATGGGCCTTATTTGGGCGCCGACGCTCGGGGTCGTCTGGCAACGGCACCGGGAGCTCGAGACGCAGCTCTCGGGGCCAGCCAACCCAGGAGTCGATTTTAGGACCAATCTCAATGACAATCGATATCAACATGAACGACGGGGACTCGGACGCGATGGATAATCGGAGATAGCCGCGCAGCGGCTATGTAGGTTATCCAACAACGCGAGGAGAGGAACCGACACAGAATAACCCCCACCGTAAGGTGTGGAAACGTGACGCGATGGCCGGATCATTACGTCCGTCCGTGCGCGGAACTCGTGTGTCGGACCCTCGCGCCCCCAGGCGCCCGAGTCCCGTTCTCGTCTGCCCCACCCTCCCTCCCTGGCAGACGGTTTGTAGTGTTCGTGTGTGTGTTCGAGCGTCGGGGCCTTATTTGGGCGCCGACGCTCGGGGTCGTCTGGCAACGGCACCGGGAGCTCGAGACGCAGCTCTCGGGGCCAGCCAACCCAGGAGTCGATTTTAGGACCAATCTCAATGACAATCGATATCAACATGAACGACGGGGACTCGGACGCGATGGATAAGAGCAGCAGGAGCCAGTGTGGCCCCCCACGGCCCTCCGCACCGCGCCTGGCGCCCAGCAGCCGCTGCACGCACCGCGAAGGCGCGGAGGTCGACTATCGCCTCTCGGAGAGGCGAGCAGCGCGGCGCGAGCCGGCAAAGCGGCGTGGATCCGTCCTTGTCCCCCACGAGGACTTGCCTCAGCCGCTCAGAAGTGGCCTGCAAGCGTGCGGCCGGCGCTGGTGAGCGTGAGGGATGGGCTAAACTCCCTCTCGCTGCAGTGGCGGGCAGGCGGGCGAGAGGCGCCTCTCGGAGAGGCGAGCAGCGCGGCGCGAGCCGGCAAAGCGGCGTGGATCCGTCCTTGTCCCCCACGAGGACTTGCCTCAGCCGCTCAGAAGTGGCCTGCAAGCGTGCGGCCGGCGCTGCACACTGGGCAAATCGGCCGATTTCCCTCCCGCTAAATCATCACGGCCCCGTAACACCCTCCGCGCGCGGTCAAAGGCTTCCCAGGGCCGGTCCATGACATGAACCGATAGACACAAGCAAAAAAAACCGCACCTCTAAGCTTATCGGGCACCCCGAGGCCCATACGGCGTCCCGGCGGGCCCCGGCGGAGGTCCGGCGCGGCGCTCCAAATCCGCACTTCGCGAGCTTCTACGGGAGTTCACGCGGCCTCTCCGCCTCGTGAGGCACACCCCACACCCACCACGAGCCCTGGGGCCGTGGGCGGACCTTTGGCCGCGGCGTCCGGAGCTTTAGTCGTCGAACATCGGCCGCCAACTAGGCCGTCGAGCGAACGTGTCCGGAGAGGCTCTCGGATGGGTCCGGCAGCGGTCCCATGGACCCAGAAGCTCGCCCCGGCGGAGCACTCACGGCTCGACCCCCGCCCCTGGTCACCCAGACGTGCCCTTGGACAGCCGTAGGGGCTCGCATGGAGAGGAGGTTGGCAGCCTTTCTGCGCTTCGAGGTGCAAGAGAGAACTTGTCGCGGGCCTTTGTATTTAGCGGGAGGAAGCCAGGTGGGGTTTAGCCCAATGTGGGTGTGTGGTGAGCGTGAGGGATGGGCTAAACTACGTTTTATCCCGTTTTGCCCCTTCTCAGCTGAATTTTCCAGCGCTGTGTGGCGAAGAACCGACCACGCCGCGCATGGGTGTGTTCATACTGGTGGGCAACACCACCTAACCGCTGCTATTTGTGTCGCTGCGCCCCCAGAGCGGCGGAAGCCTGGCGCGGCGACGGCGCTGCGGCGCTGCGGCGTCGCAGCCGCAGCGCGTGAGGCGCGGTGCGTCAAGTCGCCTTCAACCGCTCCGGCCCGCTGCCACAGGGCCCAGGGATGGCGCTGAGACGCTCGGGTGTGACATGAAGGCCTTAGGGCGCGCGCTCAAGCCGCATCGGCGCAACAGCGTTTTTGAGCGATTCTAAGATCAGGTCTCGCACCTCCCCACTGGAAACGAACAGCTGAGTTTCAAATCTCGAATAAATCTCGAAACACACTTGAATGCTCACTTGGCAGGTAACATATGCGCCACGCGCCCCAACCGCTCCTCTGGTCGCCGCCGGCCTCCGCGGCGGCGGCGATGTCCCAGCGCCACCCATCGGCCAGCCCTCAGATCGATCGATCGGCGCTCAAAGTCGGCTTCAGATCCGAGAACGCTGCTGGCGCCGCCGCCGATCCCAGCGGCGACGCCAGCAGCTTCCTCTGCTCTCCAATGCGCCGAGAAGCGACGCGGGGGTGCTCGGCCCGCCGTGGACGACGAAGGCTCCGCCGGGCGCGCGTCGGCCGGTCCGGTGGCACCCTCTGCGCGCGGCACCTGCCGGCGCCCCGACGACAGCCGTCGCACCACCGCTGATGGAGGGGCGGTCGGCGCCGCTGCCGCCGCGCCGCCGGTGGGAGGGGCACTGGTGGTGGCCTGGGCGGCCCTCCGCCGCCGCTCGGGGCGCCCGGGCAGCGGTGGCAGCCTGCGCCCGCGTGCTTCGAGCTGCCCGCTCGGTGCTTCGAAATGCCTGCTCCGTGCTTCCGGCGGATCTTTTTTCTTCTCGAGCACTAAGCAAAATTCGAGCCAATTGAGGAAACTCAAGCGGGCAGGCTGGAAGCACTGAGGGACGGCCGATGTTCGCCCAGTGCGAGACCTGATTTTAGAATCGCTCTTTTGAGCTGTCCGGGGGTGGTTCACGGCTGGCGTGCAACAGGTCCACGGCCCCCCCCCGGCGCCAGAGGAGAGAGAGCGCGGGCATCGGATCGGCCACGCCATCGTCCAGCGTCCACCGTGCACACAAAAGTTACAACATCACAAACAGCTTCAACATGTGTCTCTCTGCTCTCTCCTCTGGACGGCTTCGACCCCTCGACGCATGGGCACCGGCCTGTGCACCCCCGCAGCACACATTCACTCCGTGCAAGCGCGACGCGCCGGTCGTGCCCACCGCTCATATCACTATGTTGCGCATCAGTCTGCCGATGGCCTTGAGGCCGGACCACATCTCCTCCCGGGAGCCGCTCGAGTCGAGCTCGACGATCGGCACGCGGCTCGCTCGCAGCCACTCGAGAGTAGGCTCGCTCTGCTGGCGGTAGACGGCGATGCGCCGCACAGCCGCCTTGCGCGTGTCGTCTGCGCGCCCCTCGGTCTGCGCGCGGCGCAGGATCCGCTCGAGCATCTTCTCCTCGTCGCAGACCAAGTGCAGCGCCAGCTCCGGCCGGCCGCACTGCGCCTCGAAGTCGATCGCATTGTCGCGCGAGCGCGGGAAGCCGTCGAGCAGCAGCCGCCGCCCGCCGAAGGAGCGCATGCGGCGGCGCAGCAGAGTGACGATGAGCGCCGAGGAGACGAGCTCGCCGCGGAGCATGATGCCCGCCACCTCGCGGCCGAGCGGCGTGTCTGCCTCCACCTCGGAGCGGAGCAGGTCGCCGCAGCTGACGTGCGAGACGTCGCACTCGTCGACGAGGCGGCGGCAGAGGACACCCTTGCCGCTCCCGGGCCCGCCCACGACCAGGATACAGCGCGCTGGGTTCGAGGCGAGCAGCGCGTCCGAGGCGTGCAGAAACTCGTCCAGGTCGATGGCGCCGCTGCTGTCGACGTCCGCCTGTTGGAAGAGCTCCTCGAGCGTGGCATCGTCCGGCCTCTCGCCCACGCTCGCGAGCAGCGCGCGGAGGCCGTCGCGGTCAAGCTGCCTCGCGGGGCCGGCATAATCGTCGAACAGGTCTATGATGGCCGACATCTCGAGCGGCAGAAACGCGCGGTTCGCGGACTGCGCGGCCTGCCGCTGCCGCAGCGAGCGCGCAAAGACGCGCGCCTTTTTGGACGGCGCCGCTGCCTCGAAGCCGTGCGGGAGCGGCGCGGACGCGAGGATCTCCTCCGCCTCTGTCACGGCCCGGCCGGGCCAAAGCCGGTCGAGCCGCGCGTCGCCGTCAGGCTTGAGCGGGTCGTCGCCCTTGTCTTGCGAGGAGGCGGCTCGGCGAAGCAGCTGTGCTGGCGCGCGCGTCAGTCGCGGCAGGCGAGTGCTCAACGGAAGGCGAGTGCACAACGGAAGGCATGGCCGTGCTCGCATGCGTGGAGGTCAAGCCACCTCTCCGCGAGGATGCCGCGAGGATGTCCGCCTCTGGCCGCGCCGTCGTGGAGAAGCAGGGGGAAAGAATTTTAAGGGAAAGAAAGAAAGAAAGAAAACGGACACCCCAAGGGAGGGATGGGAGGACGGCACGCCGCCACCACACAGGAACGAGAGAGGGGAGGTGTAAGGTGCCTATATGGGCTTCCAGTATCGGACCTTCAAGACATGCGCTTTTGGCCGGTGGCCTCCTCGGACATGGTACCTCCGGTGAGATAGTGGCTGCCAGTTCGAGACTGACTGGGGCCGATCTAACTTGAGTTGTTCGGAGGAAGGAATCCGGCCAGCACGGGTACAAAGAGGGGTGTGTGTGTGTGTGTGTGTGTGGAGTCTCTCTCTGATCCCACCTGTGATGTTGGGTGCGAGGTCGTGGAAGCTGAGATCCCAAGGGGGGGAGCCGATCCCACTCGTAACCAACTCTCAGGGGCAGTAGGTGGGCGAGCCTCGAGCCCGCTCATCTCGATCGTCAAGGCGTCGCTACGCGCGGTCTTCCGCGGGGGGAGCTTCGTCGACGGGTGCGGGACCGCGGCGCGGCTGGTGCTGCGGCGATGCCTCCGGCTGTTGCGGCGAGTGGCTTTCTGCTCGCTGCGATGGCGAAAAACTCGTCTCGTCGCACACCAAGAGCTTATGCTCTGGCGAGATGTGAGGCGCATGCGCCCGGGAGGGGAGGGCGCATGCGTAACGACGCTGCTAGAGATGCCTTTCGGGGCCCAGAGATAAAACTTCTGATGCCATGCGTGACCTAGTAGTGTCCCCAGCTATGGGCGTGTCCACGTTGGAGCCAGGTGTGGTGTGGGCGCGAGAATAGCTCCGCCGTTCATGGAGGCAACCGATGCGAGTCGACTGGTGTGTGTCGTCGTGGTTTCGTATCAAGAATACTCACTCACACAATCTCTCGAGAACCTCGAGAGGGGTACCCGGAGAATCCCCAGCTGCGGAAACGTAGTGTCGCCCAAGAGGTGCGATACTGCGGGGGAGTGTACGGTGCCTATATGGGCTTCCAGTATCGGACCTCAGAGCCACAACACCAGACACAAGTGTGTACTTCAGCGCCTCATCCTCGCCCTACGCGCCGCGTGGGGCACCGCTGTGCGAATGGAGCCGAAAGGCCACCTCGGTCAGAGTTACCACAAACAACCCGACGTGGACGCGTGCAACATTGGCAGGGGCGGCAAGCGCTTTTCAGGCGATGTCAAGGTTGTCTGCCCCCTCACCAGCGGCGGGGAGCATGGTCGGAAGGGCGCTTTTGTCGCCTTCGGCAACACCGAGGCGTTCTACCGGAACATGGTCGAGGGGCATGGGCCCTACCGCGCGGAGGGAGAGGGAGGCGAGGGGAAGGGGGAGGGGGGTGGAGGGGAGTGTGAGGGGTATGGGGGCGAGGGAATGGAGGGAGAGAGGAAGAGCAAGGGCGAGAGGGGGCAGGGGACTGGTCGATGGCATACTAGGGGGGGCAGGGTAGTGGGCGGCGATCGCCGCATACCGTCCTATGGCGGCGAGTATCGCTACGCCAGGGAGGACAAGGACGTCGACGTGCGGCTGCTGCTGTTCGAGTGTCGTTCGGTGGGTTCGGGAAGGGGGTCGGCGAGATCCTCTGGGGGGCGGCGAACGTGCTGCAGAACAAGCTGACGCGGGCCCAGTACCTCGATCGATGAGGTGACTTGGACCACAAAGAGCTGGCTGGGGCTGCAGAAGCAGCGCATCTCAGTCGTTCTTCACACGGCCATCGCAGAGCAGATTGTGAATGAGCTTGCCAGCGGCGAGGGCGGTCGAGTGCACGGAGCTAAGTGCCTCGCCGTCCTCGCGGGAGTCGCTTAGGCGGCTCCAGTGGTGTACCTGTGTTAGTGCCAGTGCGCGCCAGTCCCGTGCCTAGTGTCGTGCGAGGGAGTTTTGTTGTAAAATTCTTAGTCTGGTGTACCTGTGTTAGTGCCAGTGCGCGCCAGTCCCGTGCCTAGTGTCGTGCGAGGGAGTTTTGTTGTAAAATTCTTAGTCTGGTGTACCTGTGTTAGTGCCAGTGCGCGCCAGTCCCGTGCCCAGTGTCGTGCGAGGGAGTTTTGTTGTATCAGTAACCAGCCTCCGGCGGGGCCCCCCGCTACCATCCAAACCCGAGTACCGGTCTACTAATCATACATAGAGGCTCAAGTGTGACATAAGTCCACACACATTACGACATACACATGCACAAAGCAAACTCTCACGACACACGGCAACCGGGTGGAGCGGCGGCGGCGGCGGCAGCAGCACGCGCGGGCGGACGGATTCGGACGGGGCGGAGCAGCAGCCGCCCAGGCGGCCGCTGCTCTGTCTGCCAGAGCGCGCCGTCTGCCTGCGCAGCTCGAGCGCGGTCAGGTGCAGCGAAGCGTGGCGGCGCGGGGAAGCGCGGCGCGGTGGTGGCGGCGGCGGCGGCAGCGGCACGCGCGGGCGGACGGATTCGGACGGGGCGGAGCAGCGACCACCTAGGCGGCCGCTGCTCTGTCTGCCAGAGCGCGCCGTCTGTGCACAGCTCGAGCGCGGTCAGGTGCACAGGGAAGCGTGGCGGCGCGGGGAAACGCGGCGGCTCGAGCGCGGTCAGGTGCACAGGGAAGCGTGGCGGCGCGGGGAAACGCGGCGGCGGTGGCGAGCAGGCGAGCGGCCCGCGCGCGGCGAGGCGGACAGGTGATCGGCAGGCGGGTGATGGGCCGGAGAGTGACCGCGCCCAGCGATCGGAGAAGACGAGCCGGTCGTCGCTCGGCCGCAGCTGACCTCGAAGGCGTGCGGAGCGCGACTGTCGGTGTCGGTGGGCGGCCGTCATGTGGCGAGGAGGGAGGGCGACAAGTGCGCGTCGTACGGGTCGCTCTTCATCGGCCAGTCGAGCGGCACTCAAGTCGAGACCGAGCATGGGCGACGAAAGCCGGTGAGGCCGGCGAGATTCGTTGCGAGATACGGTTGGCGCCCAAACAAGTTTGGACGCTCTGGGGACGCGCCGAAAAACCAACTCGCTGGAAAGGGGGCTACTGGGGCGGCCAATTCACACCTCGCGGGACTACTTATGTTTTCGTAAACGTAGTCGTGGCCCCCCGCTACGTCGCACGACTGCGACTGGGTAGTGGGGGGCTAAAATTCTTAGTCTGGTGTACCTGTGTTAGTGCCAGTGCGCGCCAGTCCCGTGCCCAGTGTTGTGCGAGGAAGTTTTGTTGGTAAAATTCTTAGTCTGGTGTACCTGTGTTAGTGCCAGTGCGCGCCAGTCCCGTGCCTAGTGTCGTGCGAGGGAGTTTTGTTGTAACATTCTTAGTCTGGTGTACCTGTGTTAGTGCCAGTGCGCGCCAGTCCCGTGCCTAGTGTCGTGCGAGGAAAAAAGAAAGAAAGAAAACGGACAACCCAAGGGAGGGATGGGAGGACGGCACGCCGCCACCACACAGGGATTTTAAGGAGAGTGGTGTAGAGAACGGGGGGCCGATAACGTACGGGGAGGAGCGCGCACGCACTGCAGGGGACGAAAGGCACGAAGGCGCCCCCCCACCGGGGTGGGTGCGAGGAGGCGAGATGCGGGGGGCACAGCTTGGACGGCAGGCGCGCAAGAGACAGAAAGCCAGGGAACAAAGAGGAGGCAAGTAGGGGGGGTGGCTCGTAACTGAGGTTCGCCTTCAGGGACAGCCGCCTCCCCGAGTGGTGATTGTTGTTCGGTCATAAACGATTATACTTGTGACACGATCGATGCGAGGACGCAAGTCCACCAAACTCGGCCATTCCAACGGCCAGGCCGCTCGCTTAAGGCTGATTGGCTAGACGAGCGGCCTACCTCCAACGGGGAAGTCTGACGAGCGGGGGAGCTCTGATCGCCGTACTCACCGGGACGCTGGTGAGGTGACGGTGGGAGGGCGCCCCCCAGACAGCCCCTCCCGACGGGGACGCCACCACCCTCGCCCAGGGATCCACAATGCTGTCTTAAGGTCCGACCTGTGGGCTCTGCCTGCGCTCGGCACCGGGCACCGCCTCGGTATACAAAATGCGCCTGCGGGCGGACCCTTACAGATCACAGATCACAGAGTGGTGTGGTGCGCTAGCCGTCGCCCACCCTTGGGCGTCCGCCTCTTCCTATCTCTCTTCGCAGTCTCTCGCCGATTCTCGCTGCAACCTTCATGCCACCTCGCGGTCGTCCTACTCTCGTCGTTCTTTCCCTTGTCGCTTCTTCTTCTGTCGCGTGCGAGGAAAGAAAGAAAGAAAACGCAGCACCAAAGGGAGGGCTGGGAGGACGGCACGCGAGGAAAAAAAGAAAGAAAACGGACAACCCAAGGGAGGGATGCGAGGGAGTTTTGTTGTAAATCCCTTAAAATTCTTTAACGCGGCTTGGGCCCAGGGTTCCGGCTCCTACCCAGATAGGGGGTCTGTTCCCTCTGACTCGCACCAAAACGCCCTACCTACCTACCTATTGCGGGCGCCAATCGCCAGGCTCCGTGCCCCACCTACCTACCTATTCCCAGGCCGCGCAGCGAAGCGAAAAATACCCGTCCCGGGCGCGTTCGCCGGCGCTGCCGACCCGGGCGCCGCCACCGCGGGCGCCGCCGCCGCACCCGTCTCGGCTGGCGTCCCAGCCGCAGGCGACTCGCCTGGCTGGCATGGCCCCGTTCGCGGCTAAACGCGCCGTCTCCCGCGCGAGCGAAGCGGTTTTTTTAATCCCCCCCCCCTGCCCACCACCACCACCTACCTACCTATTGCGGGGCCCTCTGGGGCGGTCAAAACCGGACCTACCTACCTATTGCATGGGGTCTAACCAGAGGGCACAGACCCCCTATCTGGGTAGGAGCCGGAACCCAGCGAGCTCGCATGCTGAGGCGTGCGCTTTGCGTGCGATGGCATCAGCGACCGACCAAGCCACCTCACGCGCCACCGTAACGACCGGTCAGGCGCCGCTTGCTGGCGAGGACGAGTTGGCCGACCGTTGCGATCCCTGCATAAAGAACGCCGACATCCGTAGGATTGTTCAGCGAGGGTTCCCAACATACTCCGCCACAAAGTGTCCAGAGTGCGGGCGCGGATGCGGAGAGGGATACCCGATGCCGCCACCATGTCCGCACAAGATCCTATGTGAGCGGTGCTCAGAGGCACTCTGCAGGAGGGCTCAGACCGACGGGGACGGCGAGCTCACGCGCGACGCTCTGTGTCCTCACTGCTAGCGGCGGCGCATCATAATGCTTGAGGGCACGAGGCCACTCTGCTGCCTTGCGGCAGATTTCAGGCAGAGCGTGCGCGCGCCCTTGACATGAGCGAAAGTGATTGTGCGCGGGGTGGCTGTGTGCTTTTGAGTTTTGTTCTCTCGCGCTCTGTGTCGTGCGTCGTAATTCTTTTGGGGGTGTGCCGAGCCTGGGTGATCCTTCGTCCATCGGTGTGACAGGTGTAATCGGTGATAAATAGCATGCGGCACGAGCGACTGCCGTACGGCGCCGGGGCGAGAAGAGCGCAGTCACAAACGCACACAGGACGACAGAGATATCACAGATTGCTAGCCCGGTCGAACACCCCGGGTCGCGATTTTGGCAAGTGAATACGGGCGCTTTTTGACGATGAAATAAGAATCTACTGCCCGAGGGAAACACATAGACACCCACATGGTTGACCAACCCTTAGTGTGTGAGGGTCAGTGTTCACATTCACACCCGCCCACTGGCACCGCGGCACTGTACAGTGTGCAGACCGACATACAGCACGCACAATGTAGCACTTATTAGTGAGCGCGCGCATCCCCCGCGCTCGCCCTCCACGGCCGCTGAGCGGCGCAACGCACATGCCTCCCTCGCGCGCGCTAGCGGCTCGGCGAGGTCGGCCGGCGCGAGCACAACCCCAAGACGATGCCGTAAGCGGGTGGCTGCGCCGCCGCTGCGCCGTCGGGGCGACGGCGACGGCGGCGACGGCGGCAGCGGGCCGGGCAGCGGCGGTGGCGGTGGCGGTGGTCAGGGCGGCGGCGTCGAGGGCGGCGGCGGCGACGGCGGCGGCGGCGACGGCGGCGGCGGGCTCGGTGGGGGCGGCGACGGTGGAGGCGGCGAGGGAGGCGGCGGGCTCGGAGGCGGCGGCGAGGGCTGCGGCGGCGAGGGCTGCGGCGGCAAGGGCGGCGGCGGCGAGGGCGGCGGCGGCGGCGAGGGGGGAGGCGGCGACGGCGGCGGCGGGCTGGGCGGCGGCGGGCTGGGCGGCGGCGGGCTGGGCGGCGGCGGCGGCGGCAACGGCGGGCTCGGTGGGGGCGGCGACGGTAGAGGCGGCGAGGGAGGCGGCAGGCTCGGAGGCGGCGATGAGGGCGGCGTGGCGAGGGCGGCGGCGAGGGCGGATACGGCGAGGGCGGATGCGGCGGCGGCGGACTGGGCGGAGGCGGGCTGGGCGGCGGAGAGGACTGGGCGGCGTGCGGCGACGGCTGCGGCGGCGAGGGCAGCGGCGGCGACGGTGGCGGAAGTGAGGGCGGCGGCGGCAACGGCGGCGGCGGCGACGGCGGCGGGGGGCTCAGTGGGGGCAGCGACGGTGGAGGCGGCGAGGGAGGCGGCGGGCTACGCGGCGGCGGCGAGGGCGGCGGCGGCGAGGGGAGGCGGCACGGCGGCAGTGGGCTGGGCGGCGGCGGACTGGGCGGCGGCAACGACGGCGGCGGCGGCGGTGAGGGCGGTGGGGGGCTCAGAGGCGGCGGCGGCGGCGGCGGCGGCGGGCTCGGTGGGGGCGGTGACGGCGGCGGCGAGGGAGGCGGCAGGCTCGGAGGCGGCGGTGAGGGCGGCGGCGGCGGCGAGGGCGGCGGCGGCGAGGGCGGCGGCGGCGAGGGCGGCGGCGGCGACGGCGGTGGTGGGCTTGGTGGGGGGAAAGCGACAGTGGGGGTGGCGAGGGCGGAGAAGGCGCCGGCAGAGGGGGCGACGGCGGCGGCGGGCTCGGCGGTGGCGGCGACGGTGGCGGCGGCGAGGGCGGCGGCGGCGAGGGCGGCGGCGGGCTCGGCGGCGGCGGCGGCGAGGGCGAGGGACGCGCCTGAGGTGCAGGGAGGGCGTCAATACTCACAGCACTGGTGGTTCGGCCTCTAGGAGGCGGGCGGCACCCGAGCGGCTGGCGTATTTTCCGGCCAGGCCGACGAGGGTGAAGGCGTCGATGAGCATCAAGCCGCCGTGGGCCGCGCCAGGGCCGCGGCGGGTCCTGGCGACCCCTCGAGGGAGGCCAGGGTGGCCAAGGCAGCAGCCACAGCCTGGGAGGAAAAGTGCGCCGCCGACGCGCACTTCTCGCGCGGGTCATTCTCGGTGTTGTCGGGGTCGTGCGAAGCTACGGCCTGCGAACGGCCGGTGGGCAGACGTCATGGCCGGCATGTACGACCCTTAAGAACCCGCGTACGACCAGAAGGTCGGCTGTGAGGCGAGGCTGAAGGCAGTCCCAACAGTGGTGGATTTCTGTTGCTGACAGTTGAGATCCGCGCGAACTGACGGCAGGCAAGCCGGCAGGTGGGAGGCGGGGATGTGCCGGGTGGATCCCCAAGCGGGCGAGCCGGGCCCGTGCATAGTTCGGGCGCGGGGGGCGCGGGAGCATGAGAAAGACGCACCGACATGCTGGTGGCTACCGGTCACTTGATTGCCTGATTTTGACGATTCTCGTTGGACCGTCGCTCGGAGCGAAATCCCAAAACCTCTCAGCTCAAAGGGGGAATTTATTTGTTTGGGCAGTGTTCGACCGGGCTAAGATTGCCAGGACGCCACTCGCGACTCGGGAGACACACAATTCACGCCAGACACATGCGACACAGTGCTCATGTGGGCGGAACAAATGCTGCAAGGTCGCGCGAGCGGCGCACGATGAAGCGATATCCCTCGCGCGGCGAGGCGACGAAAGAAACCGCGCCGCTCGCCATCTCCGTTGCCTTGTCCGACCACGGCAGAGTGACGAAGGGCTCGAGCGCGGGGAGGATCTGGTCGCCGACCCCGAGGGGGTGGATATTGGGGATTGATCCTCTCGGTGTCCGGAGCGGAATCAGCTCCTGTCCCAGCCGCACCGCGACTGGCAGGTTGTCTTGCGTGATATTCCTTTTGGTGCCGGCCGCGGTGGCCACCATTAGGTTCCCGCGCTCGAGCCAAACTGCGCAGATCAGCGGTGGGAAGGTAGGGCATACGCGCGGCAGCAACTGCTCCCCGCGCCACGTCGCCTCGAAGCTGCTGGAGAAGATCGTCGACAAGCGACCGCGGGTGAGCACGCGCCCGTCCTGTCGCCGAGTCGCCGAGGGCAGTCCCTGCATGGATGTCCCTGCCTCTGTCTCGAGAAACAAGTCGGACGACCGCTCCAGCAATCCAAAACCGCGGAGCGCGTCCAGCAGCGGCTCGGACCCGGGCGCCTGCTGCAGTAGCACACGCGGGGCCCGCTGCGGCTCGCCCTCGGGCACCGCCAGCCGGCTCCCGCTGAGCCAGACCTGCTTGGCGCCGCCGAGAACGGCGCAGAGGTGCGAGCTGCTGTCGAAATGCAGCACGCTGCGCCGGCGCTGGTCCGACGAGGTCATCTCCTCGAGCAAGGAGATCGAGCTCTCGCCACGGGTGGCGACGGCGAGGCCGAACGGCCCCGCCTCCATAGGCTGCAGCCCGCCGCCGCCTGTGCGCATCATGATCACGACCATCTGGTTGTCCTTGAGTTGCAAGGGCGCCGCCGTCTGGCGCCGCGCCCAAGCGCTCTCCAGCCGCGCGTCGAATGAGCGCACCCAGGCCCGCGCGAGGTCGACCCGCTCCTCGGTGTCGAGGCCGGCCGCCGCGCCGCGACCGACCATGAAGAGGTCCTCCCAAAGCGCATAAAACCGCTCTGACTCGGAGAGGAGGCGGAAGGTCTTGTTGACCTGCGCCAGAATATAGATGAGCTGAGGTCGCAAATTCGACGCGATCGCAAAGAGCAGCTCCTCCGGCAGGTCACACAGAGTAGTCGGTGGATCCATATGCACGCAAAGTGTGCCTGCGGAACGGTGCTCGGGTGGTGACGGAGGGACGAGCGGGAGGAGGGCGGCGGCGTGGCAGCGTGGGGCGCACGGCTGTCTGCGGGCGGCGGCCTGCGGTCTGCGATCTGCGGGCGGCGGTTTGCGGGCGGCGGGGAGGGCGCGCCCAACGAAGGAATTTAACAACGAAAGAAGCGAGAAAACCCGAAAAAAAATTCTGCCGGACGAGTGACGTAGGGCGCGGGGCATCCCCCTCCCTGTCCCGCGCGCAACGCCAACGGGCTTTCAGCTGGGGGCCTGCCCCGCCCCGGCGCGGTCGCAAGCGCCTCAGGGCCCCGCCGTCGCCGTCGGTGCGGGGAGAGAGCGAAACCAATAGAGCTTTTAATCTGAGAGAGATGTGCTGTGCGGTTGTGCGCGAGTCTCAGAGTCCAACTGACTCTTGAGACTCCATATCATATCTCTGTTCCAGCGTAAAAAGGGCCGTGTCGGGTGGCGGGCATCATGCTCCGCGGCGAGGCTTCCTAGACACTTCCTAGACCACTTCCTAGAGATCTCCTAGACACTTCTTAGACACTACTGTACCGGCAACCACCGCCAAACCGCGCCACCACCCACCCGCCACCCATCCCTCCGCCAGGCGAGCTCTTCCTGGACACTTCCTAGACACCTCCTAGAAGTGCCATCCCTCCGCCAGGCGAGCTCGTCTCCTCGGCGCTCATCGTCACTCTACTGCGCCGCCGCATGCGCTCCTTTGGCGGGCCAAAGCCGGCAAGCGCCCCGCCGACGCCGCCCGCGGCAGCCTGACCCGCATGCTCTCCGCGCCTCTAGGCGGGCGGCGGCTGCTGCTCGACGGCTTCCCGCGCTCGCGCGACAATGCGATCGACTTCGAGGCGCAGTGCGGCCGGCCGGAGCTGGCGCCTGCACCTGCAGCGGGGCGGACACGTGCACCGCATGTGTGGCACGCGTCCCGGACTCGTCCCGCAGGCGCTGCACTTGGTCTGCGACGAGGAGAAGATGCTCGAGCGGATCCTGCGCCGCGCGCAGACCGAGGGGCGCGCAGACGACACGCGCAAGGCGGCCGCACCGCCGCCCAACCCCCTTCTCTGGAGCCTTGCCCGGACCCTTCTCTGGACGTGCCGGTAGGCGGCTGTGCGGCGCATCGCCGTCTACCGCCAGCAGAGCGAGCCTACTCTCGAGTGGCTGCGAGCGAGCCGCGTGCCGATCGTCGAGCTCGACTCGAGCGGCTCCCGGGAGGAGATGTGGTCCGGCCTCAAGGCCATCGGCAGACTGATGCGCAACATAGTGATATGAGCGGTGGGCACGACCGGCGCGTCGCGCTTGCACGGAGTGAATGTGTGTTGCGGAGGTGCACAGGCCAGGGCCCATGCGTCGAGGGGTCGAAACCGTCCAGAGGAGAGAGGAGAGAGACACATGTTGAAGCTGTTTTATGTGATGTTGTAACTTTTGTGTACACGGTGTGGAGAGTTCAGAGTACGTGGAGACGCGGTGGCGTGACCGTGGCCGATCCGAATGCCCCCGCGCTCTCGCTCCTCTGTGGGGGGGGGGGGGGTCTTCACCGAGCCTCTGGGCGCGGCCTGCGCGGGGGGCCTGCCGCGCGCGCGGTCGCTAGAGCTGTCAAACGTTAACTTTGGGCCTAACAGTTGCACTATTGTTGGCTGAAATCCTCAACGTTGTTCAAGTGTTCTCCCCAGCCCAAGCTGTTACTGTTTGTTACTGTTGTTACTGTTGTTCAGTGGTCAGCAAGCAGAAAATGCCAAAAAACCCGGGTAAAACCCGAAAATACCTGGGTTTTTCCAGGTATTTTCGGGTATTACCCGCACTGGACGCTGGAGATCGTCGTGGGTCACTGCCAGGCCTTCCTTATTGTTGTTCAGCTGGCCTAACGTTAGCTACTGTTGTTGGGGAGCCCCACTGTTGTTCTGTTGTTAAACTGTTAACACTAGCAAATAAATAAATAAAACGGACACCTCTACTAGGAGATGGGTAAAAAGGAACAGGTCCCCGCCCTGCGGTCTTTGTGCAGGGTTCTTTGTGGGTGTGGTCGGCGGCTAGCCGGGGTCGTCCTCCCGATGGGGGACTAGCACTAGCCGTCTTCCACATGGTCCCTCGGGTCCCTGCTGCTCCTAATCTCTTCGTACATCCTCCTGCTGATCTCCGCAACGTCCTGCTCCCTCCCTCGTCTCGCCCTGCGCGACTGCTCCGCCTCACCGTCGTCCGCCCTGCGTCGTCTGGTGACGGGTCCTCCATAGTCGGTTGAGGTCGCCGCCCTCCTCGTGCCTCTTCCCAACGTTCCCTCGGCGGTCGATGCCGTCTGGTCCGCCTCCGCCGTCCCCGGGTCTGCCCTGCCCTCGTCTGCACTAGCTTCTGTTTCGTCATCACTGGCGCCTCTCCTCTTCTTTCTCCTCTTCTTGTACTACTTTTAGCTCTCTCTCTTCTCTCTCTCTTCTTGTATGCTTTGTACATCGCGTCGATTCCTTTTCGCGTGAGCACCATCCTGAAGCTCGCCCAGCAGCGGAACCGCTCCCGAAGTCGAAGGAGCATCATCAGTCTCACCCACTTCGCTCTCTGCCCACCGTCTCCGCTCCCTCCCGCTTGAGCCGCCGTCGTGGCCCTCGTTCGTCCCACTGGCTGTTGGCCTGTCTGCACGTTGCCTCCGTTATCCCTCCTCCTCCGCGACTCCCTCAAGGCCGGGCGGGCCTCCTTCCACCCAGCGAAGAGCTTCCTCAGCCACTCGATGTGTTCCTCTCTCTTCATTATGCGCGCCGTTGCTTCATCATTGAGCTGTATCCACCTCTGCACCGCTCCCGTCGCCGCCTCGGCCACGACTTGCAAGTTCCTCGTGACCCCGGTGCCAAGGTCCCTTCGGCTCTTCTCCGAGAGGTCATCTACCAGTGCTGGCAACACCCCCCCGACTGCGGGGGCCAGTGTATCGTACCCGTCCTCGTCCAGCACCCTGTAGCGTGAGCCCTTCAGCGCAGCGACATGCGCCATCCTCAGCGTCTTCAGCGTCTCCTTGGAGTCGGGTGCCGCCTGTGCCACTTTGCTGATCGCCGTCCCTGTCTGCGCTCGCGCTACTCTGAGGAACCATCTGGCCTGCTCCCTATTCCCCAGGCAGGCGCCGCTAAGCACGTGCGCCATTGTCGCTCTAGGCGGGTTCTCATCTTCCTCGGTCCATTGCTGCGCGGCTTTCCGCACGATCGGACACAGCGGGTCCCGCTTTAGTGCTGCCCTCCTCGCCGCGTCCCTCGCGGCCTTACAGACGAGGCAGCCCCTGAGGTCGCTCCTTGTGGCGGCGCCCGGGGTCTCCCTCCCCGCCTCGCCCCGCATGATCCTCTCGTGGTGCGCTCCGTGTGGCACCCCCGCCTGCTGCCGCACCCGCGCTCCCATGACGGTCTTTGTCACCACGTTATGATCATCCACGTCGGCGAATTCAATCTCGCGCTCGCCGTGCTGATCCTTGATCCGCTGGCGCTTGTCCCATTTGTGTCTCGTCGTCCCCCTGACCACGTCGCTCCACAGCGGCCCCGTGACCCCTGCCGTGTGCGACCCCGCCGTGAGCCCCTCGCCGAGCCGTCCTCGCACCCACTCGTTCGTGTGGCCGCGTTAACACTAGCAACACTGTTCAGCTCTTAACGTTTGACAGCTCTAGCCGGTCGCGAACGCGACCATGCGTGGAGCACGGCTCTTCTCTAGAGGCTGGACCTGTCCTCAAGCTCAAACATCTGTCGTACTGTCGAAACTCAAGTCTCAACGCGAATCCGAATGGCGCTAGAGTAGTGAGACGGGCGAGAACCATGGCGAGAAAGACAGCAACACAGTGTCACGGCCCCCAAAAGAGCGGCAATGCTAATGGAGGTTTTGACGCTCTACTTGTACACCCGCGGCGCGGCGCGCACCTTGTCCGGGTCGACCCAGATCGACTTCATCGGGAAGAGCGACACCTGTTCACAGCTTGCTACACGCGTGAAGAGGCGCATTTCAGACTGGCGCATTTCAGACTGAGAGAGACACGTCCGCGGCGACGGTGACGTTGGACGTGAGCGAAGCGACGGTGTCGGGAGAGAAGGCGGCCTTGGCGGTGATGGCGACGCGGCCGCGCTGGAAGTAGGCCTCGACAAACGTCCAGTCTGCGAAAGGTGGAGGTGGCGTCGAGAGGCGGCCTCTTTTACCAGCAGCGGCGGCGGGCGGGAAAGCGATGGCGGAGGACGGAAAGGGGAGAGTGGTTGGCGTGCAAATGCAGCACCTCGACCGACTTCGAATCTCGGCGGATCTCGGCGGATCTCGGCCAGCTCCTGCAAAGACGCGCAGCTCGACCGACGTCTCGCGCGCGAGCAGCGGAAGCGAGTCGCGCACGCCTGGAGTTTGCCATTCGCCAGTAGTCAAGCGGGCGGGTGTGGGCTCGCAGCGACAGCGAGGCGTGCGCGCCGCCGCACGCGACGGAGGCGTTGGCGGCGCCGGCCGTGTAGTTGACGGAGCAACCGATGCCTGCCCGCGAGGCAGTCGGGCGTGAGGGGGCGTGCGCCGTGCGGCGGAGCAGGCGAGGGCGCAAACGGTGCCATCGCCCGAGCTTGAGCCGCCGATCCGGACGCCGAAGGTGGCGCTCTCGGAAGGGAGGGCGAAGGAGACGAGCAGCTCCGCTTGCCGAGCGACGCCCGCCGGCACACCAAGCCCGACACTGCCCCGCACAGCGACGCCTCGCCTACCGCCGGCCGGCATCTCGGCTCATCTCGGCAAGTCTCGATCCCGCCCGACCCGGCGGCGAGCGGGCGCCTGTCGAATGCTGCGGCCGCTCGCAAGCCGGCGATCTCCTCGATCGGGTACTGCTGCAGCACGCGCGCCTCTGCGTTGAAAGTGACCTCCCGAGGCAGAGTCTGGGCCGACGCTGGAGGAACCGTCGCCCACCCCCAGTTGATCCGCCTGCGCAGGTAAAGCCGACGGCTCGCCGTGGCCCCCGGGCAGTGTGTGGCGTGCGGCCGTCGCTGGCTCGCCGCTTCCCGCCGGCGAGCGTCGGGTACTCGTTGTCCTTGGACGCGTAAAAGTTGCCCTGGTCGATCCGCTTCTGCGCAAAGACATCCTGTTCACACCACCAGCCACGAGTCAACCGGTGAGTCGCCTCGGGCCGGTCCGCTTGCTGCGCGAAGGCGAGCTTCCTCCCAGCCAGGCGTCGGCTTGAAGGAGCCGACGCTCCTCGGCGCGCCGGGATCGTACGAGCCCAGCTGCCACCAGTCTCCTCCGCAGGAAGTCTTGTGCACCGTGTCCGGCATCCCAGCCCGCCTGGCCTCCTCATACGCCGCCTCGGTGCCTGCTACCAGCTGGAGGCGTGAAGAGGCGCTGCTCGCTGCTCGGCACCCTCGTGCGCAGCCCCGCTGCCCGGCGTGGCGGCGGGGAGCGGGTACACGCTCGGGCACTCGCACTGCCGAAAGTCGTCCGACTTTCCGATCTCGTACCACTTGCCCGCGAGCAGGTCCTTGCTGGACGCGGAGCCGTACACCATCGAGTTGAACGTGCGCAGCCGCCACTCTCCCGACGGCGTCTGCCTACAGAGTGCACCCGACCCCATTCGTTCAGGCTGAGCTCAAAGAGCCGCCGCGGCTGCCGACGGCGTCTGCCACGGCGTCGACGGGTCGCGCTGCGTGTTCTCCATGATCGGGTTGTAGCTCGGCTTTGTCCAGTTGGCGAGGAGCGGGTCGGAGGCGTAGTCTGCCGGCACCGCCTGTGAATGAGCGGACGAGTGTAGCGAGTTCATTGACCGTCGGGAGGTAGAGTGCCGCTGCCGCCTGCGCGAGCAGAGTGCCCGTCTCGCATGCGGGCCAGTCTGCCTTGTTGCAGAGGCCGGGATAGATTTGGACGATGCCCGGCCCCTCGCCTGTGCACGCGGCGCAGCTGTGAGTGGGGCAACCTCGGGGGGGGAGGAGGACGCCCCCCCGCCGCCGCGCCTCCCGGGCCGGCGCCCTCCACCACCGCCGCGGAGCCCGTGTAGATGGCCTGCTCACAGAGGTGCAGACCTGTGAGGAGGCGCCCCGTGCGCCGCCGCCTGCGGAGCCCGTCAAGATGGGCCTGGTTGTCGTACGGAGTAGCCCGGGGAGGCCAGGCAGACGCGTCGAGCCCGTTCCAGATGGCGACGGGCATTGCCGCCCACGACACAAAGTCTTTGGAGACAAAGTGGCCGTAGTCCGGGCCGTGCCTGTTCACACCGCCGCGCGGTTCACAGCTGGCTGCGCCCCTCTCGCACACGCCGCGTGCCGGTTGTCGTGCCCGGGCGGGGCGGCGAGGTGGATCTGGTAAAAGTGATGGAAGACGCCGTGGACCGGGTCGAAGACGGGCCCGTTCGGATCGTTCTCGGCGCAGCCGTGCTGGTCCATGAGGTGGTACGTCGGCGCCTATGGTCCTCAAAGCCGGAAGGCTTCGGGAGAGGCTCCGCACCGTCAAAGTTTCCGTCGTCGCGGTACATTGACAAAAGGCTTGGCGCAGAACCTGCTCGCGGCACGCAGGCGGTAGGTGAGTACTCGCGCGGGTGGCAGTACAGTGGCAGGGTGGACGTGGCACTGGCGGAGACGTGGCGCTGGCGGAGATGCGGCGCTCACTGGTTTGACGGTGAGCACGGCTTGCCGCCGCAGATCTGCGAGTCTGACCAGGCTTGGTCTGCGACGCGGGTAATCGGATTGGCGATGCCGTCAACCCAGGCGAGGGAGTCCATCATCGTGTACACTGTGTATGTCAGCAGCGATCGTGTAAATTCTTTTTTATATAACGGTCTCTCCCCCCCCCCAATCTCCATCTACCTCCGCTCTGGTGCTCGCAGCGGTGCAGCTGGAGTCGGAGACTCGCCCCGCCGCCAGATCCATTGGACTGAGGGCGGCTGGATGGAGCTGCAGCACGATCTGGAACTACGTACGTGCTGAAGGGAGACGATTCGACCTACCTGGCCAACTTCCGCTGCACGCGGCGCCAGTTTGATGATCTCGTTGGACAGCTGGAAGCCGGGGCGCCATACATGGTGTGAGCAGGCTAGGCGGGCGGGGCCAACCCGACACTCTTCCCACTTCCGCGACCTCGGAGCCTTGGCCTGTCCGAGGGTTTCCGGCAACCCAGAGGGAAACCAGAGGGTCCCCAGCACTTTGCGTTTCCGGAAGTTTCCAGGGAAACCAGAGGGTGTTTGGTGCTCCATTCTGTTTCTCTCGAGTTTCCCTCGGGAAACTCGCGAGTTTCCCTGAGTCTGAGAGCTGGTCTGGGGCAAAATCTGGGGCAAAATTGAGGAAATCGGCACGATACCCAGGTATTTTCCAGGTATACCGGGGTTTTCCAGGTATACCCGCAAAATACCCGGTATTTTGCCGATTTTGGCCCCAAAACAGCCTCAGACACGGCTCAGAGCCCCCCCAAAATGACGAATTCCACGGAGTTTCCCCGGGGTTTCCCGAGGAAACTAGAGGGTGTTGTAGGGAAACGAGCAGGAAACACGGAAAGGAAACCAGGTAGGGTGCGAGAGGAAACCCTCGGACAGGCCAATCGGAGCCACGGGCGGGTGCTCAAGGAAACGGAAGCGGCGAAAGCCGACGGTTGGTAGGATGGGGCTCTGGCCAGATTTGGGCTTGGAGTTGCCGCGTCGAGTTTTGGATCTCGACGCGCGTCGAGAATTTACTGAATAGTGCGATTTTTGGTGAACGATTTTTCGCTTGACCTCGGTCCCGTCGGTGTGAATCGCACTATTTAAGGGCAAAAACCGATTTGCTGTGGGGGGCGTCATCAGAGAGAGACCCTCAGCCGAAGCTGGGGCCGGTCCCGTACGCCGGTACGCCGTCTAGCCGAGAGAGCCCGCGCCGATGAGTTCGACGCGCGGTACGGGAGGCCTTGCGGAGAGACCAGCGAGTTGGCGATCGCTGTACTTCATGGCGCCCTCAAAGTGGGGCTGGCTGACTAGCCACAGAGGTCGATACTCTGGACGACCCTCTCTCCCAACATGCAACAACTCAAACACGTTCATTCACCTCACCCACCCAGCCCCAGGCCCAGCGCGGGAGCTAGCCGCGGGAGAGGCGACACCCACCTGCATGCCTCAAGAATGAGTCGCTCCTCCGCCAGAGGCCAGTTCGGAGAGAGAGATGAACTGGGCTGAGGGAGGGTGTAGAGGATGTAGAGTGTAGAGCGCTGTAGAGCTGTAGAGCTGTAGAGCTGTAGAGCGCTCTGGAGCGCTGTAGAGCTGTAGAGCTCTACATCGGGCGCGGGACGAACTGCGTGCGTTGTAGAGCGATGTAGAGCGCGATTTTGCTGTAGAGTTTGTTGTAGAGGCTCTACAGCCAAACCGCCGGGAAGGCAGTGACTCAAAGAGGTCGAGCCGCGCTAATGGGGTGTCTCCGAGCTTACTGGAGCTCTGATGGACGGCCCTGACTATCCCTGACCCACAGAGAGTCCCTCTGACGGCACACAACACCCTATAACTGCGTCATGACCAGCCTGCCGTGCGTCGCCGGTGCCGCATTCGTCGCTGTGCTTCTTTAGCAGGCGGTGGACTGTCGGCTGCGAGGACGGTCGCATTTGCGCGAGGCGAGGCGAGCATTGCTGCGCGTTGCATGCGCCATGCCTCGCGCCAGCGCGTGCGGGAGCTCCTGGCTGAGCGTTGAGTCCAGGTGAGTTGCGCTGGCCACTATCGCTACGCCGAGCCGAGCTGACGCGCCGAGGCGCCGGCCAGTCGCAGCCGTGAGGCATGCCACAGCAGCAGAGGCACCTGCCACCCATTGGGCGGGCAGACAGAAGGCCAGGGCAGCACTGGCAAGTGCAACGCGCCTCATGTCGGAGAGCGACCGTGCCTCGTTCGCCCGCTTTTGATGTAGAGTTTGTTGTAGAGATTTCACGTTGTAGAGCGCCTCTACATCGCTCTACAACGCACGCAGTTCGTCCCGGATGTAGAGTACAGCGCTACAGCGCTCTACAGTGCTCTACAGCTCTACAGCTCTACAGCGCTCTTACACTCTACATCCTCTACACCCTCCCTCAGGAACTGGGCGTATCGAAAAAGCGTGGGGCGGCGGGTTTGGCACTTTGGATGGAGCACTTGGAGTGCAGTCGTCAACCTCGCATCCAGGGCCGGGGAGCTAAGAAGCGCACCCAGCGGGCCAGATGATCGGTATCGGGTTGCGGGCTAGAGAGCCCTACCTAGCCCTGAGGGGTGCGCGTTCGCAGGGAAAGGGCCGTAAAGGCGGCGCACCTTGGAGCACTTGGAGTGCAGTCAGTAACCTCACATCCAGGGCCGGGGAGCTAAGAAGCGCACCTGGGTAGTCGACGGGCCCCCGGGGGCGCCGGGGGTGCTCTTGGGGGGGGTCCCCCCAGTCAAGGGGGTCTGGGGCGCAGCCCCAGGTAGCCCGCCGCAGGCGCCGATTTTTTGGGGCTTTTTTGACTGATTTTCATGAGGTGTTGCTACTATTTTGGGACCAGTTGAAGCCTAAAAATGGCTACAAATACAGCCACAGCAGCTGCTAGTCGTGAGCTGCTACTGTGTGGCAGAGCCCAGAGAGAGGGCTTTCAGGAGCACTATTCAGTTTGATCCAGCTCAATGTTGCGGAGTAGTAACACTGTTCCGTTACCGTGAGCGGCCGGCGGCCGGCGGCGGCCGGTGGCGGCACGCGGAGCACTCCGTGAGCGGTGACGGGTGCGGACGAGCGAATGAGAGGTCCCTTTCAGTGAGAGATAGGCAGCCCTGGTCTCTAATAACACATCTTCCACAGATAGCGACCTCTCATTCGCTCGTCCGCGCCCGCCACTGCTAGTCGGGACACTCCCGGCGTGCGGCCCGGTCCCGGTCGTCACTCCGGTTGCTCGTGTTCACACCGTCAGAACTCAGCTCCGCTAAGGATCCAGCGTCTGAGACTTGGGCATCTTACACAACTTTTGTAGTAGAGCACAATGGCACCCTTGGATCAAGTGGATCACTTCATTATTGGACCTTATTGGAGACCCCCGTTTTCGGCCGCCGCGGCCGGAGAGCACCCCCGTCGCCCCCGGGGGCCCGTCGACTACCCAGGGAAGCGCAGCGGGCCGGATGATCGGCATCGATCGGGTCACGGGCTAGAGAGCCCTAGCGGAGCACTTGGAGCACTTGGCCTGAGCTTGGAGCACTTGGAGTGCAGTCATCAACCGCACATCCAGGGCCGGGGAACTCAGAAGCGCACCCAGCGGGCCGGATGATTGGCATCGGGTTGCGTGCAAGGCTGCTTTTTCTCTCTCTTGCGACTCGCTTCAGCGCTCCAGAGATGTGGCCGATATACTCCACCTCCTCTCCTCTCCCAAGCCCTCAAAAAACCCACGCACTGCTTCTCCCCACCAGCCGCTCTCGTCGCGCCCGCAGGATGCAGCGCGGGGGCGAGCAGCAGGACCTGCTTGCCGGCGGCGAGGCGGCGACGCGCGCGGCGCAGCGTGCTTACGCGCAAGAGGCTGCGCACCCGGCAGAGGCGTTGCAAAAGAACGTGCGTCGCGCCCAGTCAGCCCGCCCGCCCGCCCCCCTTTCCTCCGAGCCGGACGCCGCCCGCCCCGGCCCGCCAAGGGGACCTGAGGCCTCGTTGCGCGCCTCCCGCAGTGGCTGCAAGGCCAGCTCGAGACGCAGCACTTCATCATGGGGAGCATCTACGGGACGGCGATGCCGATGCAGCGGCGGATGGAGATGGGCATCCTCTCCCAGGTCGGGCGGCTGCCCGGGCTGCCCTCGTCACACCTCGGCCTCAACACAGTGCTCGGGCGCGACGAGACCATCGACTGGGAGGACTACCTCGGATGTGCGCTCCGCCCCCGCCCCCATTGCTGCAGCACCGCCTCCCCTCACTCGCCCGCCGCCCGTCCGCCCCACCTCTCGCGGCGGAGAGACTCTTCCCCCGCGCGAGGGGGAGAGGAGTGGACGAGAGAAGGAGAGGGCTGCAGGCCACCCCTCTCTCCGCCCGCCTCTCAGTGCCCGAGAACTCGGAGGTTGCCGTGGACATGCGCGCGCAGCTCGAGCGCAAATACGGCATCACGCCGCAGAGCTCCGCCCTCGGCCCCGCCGCTCTCGGTGCGCGGGCGGGAGGAGGCCGAGCCGCGCCGCTCCCCTCGGCCCCGACCCTTCTCCTGCCTGCCCTCTCTAGGCGGAGTGCCGGACAAGCTGCGGCAGGCGGCCGCGCCGCGCGAGGGCGTGGCGCTGCGCAAGGACCTCTGCTGAGCGCCGCGCTCATCTCGTCGCCGTGTTGGGCGTGGTTTCATCCCCCCGCCCCACACCCTTTCGCGCCTTCGGACTGTGAGATTTGTGTGCGCTTGCGTCGTCCTGCGCGCTGCGGTATGCGGGGCCACTGTGTCTTGGCCCGCGTAAATCGATGTAATGAACAGAAACTCGGAAAAGACGTAATGCCCAACAAACCCGCGCCGTAAACCTAAACGAACGCACGATGAGACGTCGTCCCCACCGACATGGACGTCTCCATCACCGCGGACAGCGGTGTCAGCGCCCTCCAGAGCGTGCGGTGGCCGCCGCGCGCGCGCACCCGCCCCTCGTGTGCATCTCGCGCGGCGGAACGGTAACCTCGCGCGCCGCGAACCCGAACGCACATCACGTATCACGAGCACGAGCGGGGGGGTCCGTACCGATGCACACATGCACATGCATCATGCGCGCTCCGAGTCATGCGATGTGGGGTTTTCATGCCCGCTGATCTCCTCCCGCAGGCACAGAGGCGTCCTTGAGCTACTTCTTGGCCACATAATCAGGCGGCGGCCGCGTCTCGAGGGTCTCCCCAGAGAACGGGTTGAAGAAGAAGCTCGTGCCGTTGCCGTAGTTGGACTCGAGCCAGTTCTCGGGCAGCGGCGGGGGAGGGCTGGTCACCTCGGCCGACAGAGGCTGGCCGAGCGCCTAAGGGGCAGAGGGGAGTGTGGCGGTTGGCGCGCGGGTCGTGAGGTGGTGCGGCGTAGCACTCCAGGGCGGCGCCTTTTGCAGCGCGCCGACGCACTCAAACTTGCGCTTCTGCGGAGGCGGAGGAGGCGGGCGGTGGGATAGAGGGATTGGAGGGCAGACGCAGCGAGGCGGAAGAGGCGCTCGCCTGCTTTGCGAGATCGAGTGGCGTCAGCCCGCGCTCATTCTTCGAGTCGACCACCTTGCTGCTCAGCATGAGAGTCAGCATCGACAAGCTGCCATACATCGCGGCAATATGCACCGCGGTGTCGCCCTCGCGGCTCTGGAGGGCCACGTCGGCCCCGCTGGCGAGCAAAAGCTCGGCCTGCCACAGCCGGTTCTTCCACGCTGCGTAGTACAGCGCCGGCCACTCGCACATCGCGTCCTGTGCGTTGACGTCCTGGCCATCTGCGAGCAGCTGCTTCATGCGTGTCTGCTCGCCCTTCTCAACAGCCGTCCACCAATCAGAGGTCGAGTTCGCCTTGGCGCGACGTGCGGCCTCGCGCGCAGCGGCAATGTCGTAGTCGGACGGCATTACGTCAAGATCGGAAGTGACACCATTTTCTTTTTCTAGTTTTTTGCAAAGAAATTCTTCGTTGTTTTTGATGGGCGGCGGCCCGAGCTCGGCCCCACAGCAAGCAGGGGGTGGGGGCCACCTCGTCCTCGAACCCCTAGCCAGGGTTTCGAGAGAGAGGATTTTTGAAAACCAACCAGAAATCACGACTCTCACAGTGATTTGGGCTCGGCAGCTTGTCAGCCCTCAGCCGAAGCTGTGGGGCCGGTCCCGTAGCCGAGAGAGCCCGCGTCGATGAGGTCTCGAGCGGAGGGCGCCCCGGATTCATCCATCCGTTGCGGGCCCCGGTACATTCATTAGAACTGATCAATTGCGCAGCAGCCGTCCCTTGAGCATCGGGCCGCGCAACTATGGTCTATGCTCTATGGAGACCCAGCCAGACGATCATCTGACTGAGGGAGGGTGTAGAGGATGTAGAGTGTAGAGCGCTGTAGAGCTGTAGAGCTGGAGAGCGCTCTGGAGCGCTGTAGAGCTGTAGAGCTCTACATCCGCCGCGTGACGAGGCGCGTGCGTTGTAGAGCGATGTAGAGGCGCTCTACAACGTGAAATCTCTACAACAAACTCTACATGATAAACGGCGAACGAGGCACGGTCGCTCTCCGACATGAGGCGCGTTGCGCTTGCCAGTGCTGCCCTGGCCTTCTGTCTGCCCGCCCAATGGGTGGCAGGTGCCTCTGCTGCTGTGGCATGCCTCACGGCTGCGACTGGCCGGCGCCTCGGCGCGTCAGCTCGGCTCGGCGTAGTGATAGTGGCCAGCGCAACTCGCCTGGACTCAACGCTCAGCCAGGAGCTCCCGCACGCGCTGGCGCGAGGCATGGCGCATGCAGCGCGTCTGAATGCTCGCCTCTCGCCTCGCGCAAATGCGACCGTCCTCGCAGCCGACAGTCCACCGCCTGCTAAAGAAGCACTGCGATGAATGCGGCACCGGCGACGCATGGCAGGCTGGTCATGACGCAGTTATAGGGTGTTGTGTGCCGTCAGAGGGACTCTCTGTGTGTCAGTGATAGTCAGGGCCGTCCATCAGAGCTCCAGTAAGCTCGGAGACACCCCATTAGTGCGACTCGACCTCTTTGAGTCACTGCCTTCCCGGCGGTTTGGCTGTAGAGCCTCTACAACAAACTCTACAGCAAAATCGCGCTCTACATCGCTCTACAACGCACGCGCCTCGTCACGCGGCGGATGTAGAGCTCTACAGCTCTACAGCGCTCCAGAGCGCTCTACAGCTCTACAGCTCTACAGCGCTCTACACTCTACATCCTCTACACCCTTCCATCTCTAGATTTGCGCAGAGCTATTCATTCCAACATGCTCTCTCGTGCACGGCACGGTGGCTTGGCATTCTTGGGTCCATTCCTCCTTCAGCTCCCCCATGGCATAGGCAGGGTGGCAAGCGGCTCACGGGCCCGCATCCCACTGCCACGTTGTCTGCTCTGGATGATCGCCAAGGAGGGGTGCTGTTATCGCAGGTGCACCCTAGGGTGCACCACACTCTGTGGCCGCACTCCTTTGGCGCGCATTCGCAAGCCCCGCAGGTCGGGGGCTCATGGCGGCACATACTATTCATTGTCGCGTCGTCGCACACAGGGCAGACGTCCTCAAAGTGAAAGAGCACAGGCCAAAGCAAAGCTGGGCTCTGGCGTTATGCAATACGCATTGATCTGAATTTTTGCGACCGCAACGTTGGTCGTTGCGTGCCGTGGTCATGCGTGCCCATCTCGCGTGTGGAAGGCAGGGAGGAGGAGCGATCTGTAGCCTCCTCGTCGCTGGGCTGGATGAGTCTGCTGTTAGAAGGTGAGAGATTTGTGTTTGTTAGAAGGTGCAGCATGCCTGTGGCAGGCGTTGTATAACAGGCGGGCATGAGCCGCCTGACGCACGAGCTGCGCGAGGCGCAGCGGAACCGACGCGCGGGCGGCGCAGCCGCGCTGGGTGCAGTCGGTCGGGAGCAAAGGGCGGCTCGCGGAGTAAAAAGAAAAACGTCGGCAGACCGAAGCTGCGAGGAATGGTGGCCGCGCTGTCATGCATGGCGGCCTCGGCCCTGTTTGCGCCGTCGCGAGTCGGTAAACTCACGATGGTGTCGCCCTTCGAGTCTGACAACGTGCACATTCCAGAGCTGATCGCCACGGCGGCGCGCATCTCGCGGCGAGGCTTTGGCATCCTCGCAGCCGACGAGTCGGTGCCGACCGCAGGCAAGCGGCTGAAGACCGTCGGCGTCGAGAACACCGCTGAGAATCGACGCGCGTTTCGCGAGCTCCTATTCACGGCGGAGGGGCTCGAAGACTACATCTCGGGCGTGATCCTCTTTGACGAGACCATGTACCAGCGCACCACCGGCGGTGAGCGCTTTGTCGACTGCCTGAGCCGACGAGGGATCCTGGTGGGGACAAAGCTGGACACCGGCCTGCGGCTTATCGCCGGCACAGAGGGCGAGACGCGCACGGGCGGGCTAGACGGGCTTGGCGAGCACGAGAGCGCGGGCTGAGCAGCCGGCCGGGGCGCAGAGGGCGAGACGTGTGCACTCCTTGTGCCGCCGTAGGCGACAGGGTGTGCGAGTACCGGAAGGACGGCGCGCGGATACTCTGGTGGAGCGACGGGAGGAGCGGGTGGCGTGGCCCTTCACCGGCCTCCTCGGCACCCCTCAGGCGCCACCTTTGCCAAGTGGCGAGCTGTCTTCAAGATTGGACACGCGGGCGCGTCTTCCGACCGGGCCGTCGATTGAATGGCAGGTGGCATCCTTACTCGGCAGAGAGAAGTGATAGGCGTGCCTTCCGACCGCGCCATCCGCGAGAATGCGCAGTCGCTCGCGAGGTACGTGCCCATCTGGTGCCTTCCAGGACATGTCCAGGACATGTCCGGGACATGTGCCTACAACAGGTACGCCTCCATCTGCCAGGAGCACGGGCTGGTGCCGATCGTCGAGCCGGCGCGTTGAGAAATAGCCGAGATCCAGCCGAGATGTAGCCGAGATGTAGCCGAGATGCAGCCGAGATATAGCCGAGGTTTAGGCGAGATGGCGCGTCAGCCGCGTTTTGCGCCACCGCCACCGCTCTGAGGCCCAGTCTGCCGCCTCCTTGTCAGGAGCTCACGCTCGGTCCGGGGGACTACTCGATTGGAAGGGCGGCGTTTGAGAGCGAGCGGGCGATCTCCCGCCCACTGGCCACCCGGCCTCTGCACTCCAACCCCGCCCCTCCCCCTCCTCGCCAAGTCCTCTGATGCGCGCCTCTTCGCACCTCGCCCGCACACCTCGCTGTCTTCACACCTGCCGCTCCTCTCACACCTCTGCGCGCCAGGTCCTCTCGCACGTGATGCGAGCCATCAACGAAGCGCAAGTCGTGCCCGAGGCGCACCCGCGCCCCAAAGCCAACCCGGCCGACTCTCACTCCGCCGGACACACCGCCCAGCCGACCCCTGCCAACCGACCCCTCGCTCTCCCCTCGCTCTCCCGGCGGCGCCAGCCCCCTCCTTTGCGGCCCGGCGCTCAAGCCGCGGCACCCACCCTCCTCGCCACTCTTCCCTCCTCACTCGCTACCCAGGCGATGCTCCTCAAGCCCTCGATGGTTCTGCCCGGCCTCGACGCCTCGCCCGGCCAGTCAGAGCCACGGTCAGTGTGCATTCGTGATTCGGGTCCAACACTTCTCAGGCCTCGACGCCCCGCTCGGCGAGTCTGCGCGCGAGAGCGTCGCCACTCACACCGCAAAGGTCAACTGGCCGTCCCTCCCGCGGTGCTACTGCTACTACTGCTGCTGCTACTACTACTGGATACTTCGCTAGGTGCTCAAGCGGACCGTCCCTCCCGCGGTGCCGGGGGTGCACTTCCTCTCGGGCGGCATGGGCGCCGAGGAGGCGACGCAGAACCTGCAGCAGCTGCAGCACGAGTACCCCGACGCACCGTGGCGCGCGGCTTGCTTCCCGCCCCGCAGCTTCGCCACGCTGGCCCGGCCGCCTGTATCCCGCCGCCTGCACCCCGCCGCCAGGTCGCTCTCCTTCTCGTACGGGCGCGCGCTGCAGGACGCCGTGCTCAAGGCGTGGTCGGGCCTGGAGGAGAACGTGCCGGCGGCGCAGGCGCGGCGCGGCGCGCCGGGAGGTCCGCACAAACTTGTCTCAGCGCGCCTCTCCACCGACCAGGCGCTTCTGCTCGAGCTCGCGCGCGTCAACGCACAGGCGCAGCTGGGGGAGTGGGACGAGGTGCACCCCACCCCCTCCTCGGGCGGGCTCTCGGCGGGCCGCATCCTCTTGCCGAAGCTTTCCTACTCATCTGAGCGGCCCAAGACGCGCGCAGCCGACCTCTTCAACTGGTGACTGTCGAGTGGTGACTGACAGCAGGGGTCAGCTCTGAGCATCCGCGGAGATATCATAAAAAAGAAAATTGGCCCCACAGCGACGTGTCCATATATCATAACATCGAAAGCACGGCTCAAAAGAAAAGAAATTCCCGCATTTGAACGCAGGAGGACGCGTCGGACCCGGGAGTGCCCGTCGAGCCGAGGCCAAGCCGCATGGTGGGCAAAGCAAGCACGCCTGCTTTCCTGGAGAGGCCTCCCCAGGTGCTGCCGAACGTTTCCTGGGTACATCCAGCCACTGCAGGAGTGCAGGCCGCACTAATGGAGGGTGACGCCGCCACCGCGCAGAGCCTTCTCAAGGAGCTTCTAACGTGCGCCAAAGGCATGCCCGCCCCCTGGGGAGTAGACGCCGCCGCCCACGCATGGGTACCCTCTCGAGGGACCCCTGGGTTCTCGGGAGTGCGTGAGCCTCTAAACGCCAGGCCCCTCCCTCCCGCTCAAACGTGCGAGACTCACCGGGCCACGCACCTATACACCCCAGACGAGAAGGAGCGGGCGCAGCTCCTCATGGTTATGATCGACGCCGAGCGCAAACGACGCGTCCGCAGCCCGAGCCGCCACCAACGGTGCGCATCCGAGTGGGGTGGGGTGGGGTTTGGAAAACGTGCCCACCTACCTTCCCTGCCGCAGGTGCAGCAGCGGGATCGAGTCCGATCGCAAGGAGCAGCCGCAAGGTGCTGTCGAGGAGGGAAGGGAGACTCTCATTGCTCGCCTCGTGGATGGCAACGTGTCTGCGATCGACGAGGTCTGTCGGCTCGGGGGGCTAGGAAAGATGTCCAGAAAGAGAGTGGAGTTCAGCTCGCAGGAACCAGACCTCATCGCGCGCATCTAAGCTGCCCGCCGGCCCCTGACGCCGTCGGCGCAGTGTAGCGAGAGGGAGCTCAGGCTGGCCAACTCCCTTCGCTTCGTAACCGAACACGCCTCCGGCCCTCGCCCTCCTTTGGCTCTCTCTTCGCATAAATAATTGTGTCTCTCTGTGTGACACAGACTCTACTCTCTAGCCTACTCACTCTCTTACCAGGGCATCTCTCACATCGCTCTCTCTCCCTCTTTGTCGCAGAGACGAGAGATGTGTGGATCCCCTACTGGATTCCCGTATACGGTATTTCTCACGTCGGGCCCGGGCCGCGGCCGGGGGCGCCGGCACGCAAGAATAACGCGTATGTTCGGTTCGACGTCTCGGTTTTTCGTTTTTGCGGTCTGGGTGTTCGTTTACACACTTGTGCGGCCCGCTGGCTCGAGAGAGCTGGCCGGTCCGCATCAAGCCCGGGAGCCCGCCATTGGTCATGTGATTGTAGATTGACAGGCTGATTACCGCGATAGTATTCTGTATTCCAGGCGGACGCATTTGACGTCACTACTGTGCGGAGAGTGTCACTGGGGTGTTGTCCCCCAAACGCGATCTATCGCCACACGCCACACGCGCCACACGCCACCCACGCGCCCGTCGCTCACATGATGATCGCTTCCTGCATCGGCTCGATAGTCGCACAGAAGACGTCGTCGAGGAACTTGGCGTCGAGGAGCGGGGTGTTGTCCTCCGCGTCGCGCGCTCTCCAGCACTCGCCCGGCCGGGTCGTCGCCTCGCTCTGCATCCCCCGAGGGATCTCGGAGTAGTACACCTCGGAGTAGTTGCCGTCCGCGCGCGGCCCCTGGCCGAGCCAGTACAGCTTTGCGCCGGTGTGCGACGAGCCGCCCATGACGCGGAAGGTGACCTGCACCGTCCCGCTGCTGCTGCTGGCCGGGGTCTGAGGCTGCTGCTCACTCCGGCTGCCGACCGACCAGCCCCGCTCCGCGCGGGCGGCGGTTGCGGCGGCAGCGCCCTGCGCGGCACGCTCCACAGCGATGGAGCTGTCGGCGCCGGTCCGCTGGACGAGGCCCTCTATCGCCTCGAGGCGCTCGAAGACGCGCCGGTCGAGGGAGAGGACCTTCTGATCTATGCTGTCGACGAGGCGACCGATCGGAGCCAACTCCGAGGCGGCATCGCCCTCGGACTCTCCAGCCTCCTCCAGCCCGCGCGTGATCTTCTCAAGCGTCGGCGCGAGGCGTGCTGCGAGAGCGGAGGGCGCGCCAGCGATCTCTTTCCTCTGCTCGGCGAGCTCCTTGCGGTGCTCCACCTGCTGTGACTGAAGCGCTGCCAGCTGCTGCTGCAGCACCTCCCGCTGCCGCGACTGCGCCGCAACCAAATCGGCCACGCTCCTCTGCAGCCGGTCGAGGTCTGACCGCACCTCGCTGGCAGCCACGGCCGAGGCCCGGACCGCATAAACGCACGTTCCCGCTGTCGCAATCGCCGTCAGGACCGCAGCAAGCATGACCGTGACAGGAGGCCTGGACGAGGAGAGCTCGGGCGGCGGCTCTGAGAAGGAGGCCCGCTTGATAAAGGTTCCAGAGAAGGAATTGCGCGAGGAAAGCGTCGGCAAAGGCATGGTAGATTCCTCCAGGTCGGCAACGCGAGGACGGAGCATGCTCTTCATGTCGGAGGGTTGGGGGGTTGGGTTGGGCGCGAGAGAAGCAGGGAAGGCGGAATGGCGGCTCTTCAAGGAGGAGAGGCCCCGAATACCGGTACCAGGGTAGGCTAAAGCGTGATTTTCTTTTTTTGGAGGGAGAGAGGTGAAATATGAACAACCCGCCTTCCCAGGCTTAGCTAGATTGAGAGATATTGTGCACATGGTTGGTCTCTACAGTATATACACTCACACTGAACCACCCAGAGCTCGTCCCGGTCCGACACGCTCACGGCCATCCTCGGCCAACCTAGCGGCCAACCCTCCAGAGGGCCCCCGGCCGCGGCGCGGTGCGGCGGCGTTACAAATCCGACCACAGAGCATCGGGACGCGGTCGGGCGATTCGAGGCCCAACTAGGCGTATGCATTGCCTATCCAGGGCTATCATCTGTCTGGACCTATCAACAGGCGCCTGCGGCGCCGTGGTCAGGAGAGCTGCTGTTCACGCGCGGGGCCCACACACACTCTCATAAGTACCATCTTCGAGGACTCACACTAAGGACTAAGAGCAGCTCCGCTCACAATGTGACTGGGAGTCTGGGACGACTACTACCCCGCGCGCTCTCACAATCCGAGCAAAGCGTCCAGAATTGCGAGCAGTTTAGCTCACGCAATCCTAACAGCATGCCTCCGATTGTGGTTCAGCTCGCAATCTTAACATCTTGTAGGACTGTGAGCTCGGCTGCGCTCACCAATCGTAGTTCGTACCAAAAAGTGCAAAGATCCAAGGATGGCTAGACGCACAGAGGGGGCGCTCCCAAGTGGCGCTCTCCCAATCGCTCCATGCGGCGCTGCGCGGAGCGTGCGTGCGCCCATCCGCCTCTGATGGTCTCGGTTGTTGTTATACACGTTTTGGGATGCCGTTTGGGCTTTGGGGTTACTCACGACCCGCACACGAGGTAGGCGGCGCGCGCGCGCCGCTCTCGCAGGCTGTTTTTGACTGCTTCTCGATTTTGTTTTTATTTTCAGTCTAGGGGGCCCGACTCACACCCAGAGATCACATTCACAACGAAACGCTCGGCCCGCTCTGCGCTCTCGCGCGGCCGGGGGTCGTCGCACACGTCGGTCGCGGGTCGGTCGCTCGCCGCAGCAAAAAACTGACCCCAGGAATTCCCGCTTCGGTTTCGTCGCCAAGCATAGTTATGCTCCGCGACGAAACCACTACGTGCTATGAGTTTTCACGATCAGTTCCGGTATACCCCCGAGCGGCGGAATCCCTAGGGTCAGTTTTGGCTTTTGTGCTGCCGGTCTCTCCGGACACCGGACTCCGCGCGGCGCCCCCCCCTCCGCCTCCGCGCTCCGGGGCGAATCCTTCGGTCCAATAGTTGCAGTCATGGAAATCTCTAGTCTTTCTTAGAGATTGAGAGGAGTGAGACCTGAAGATTTCAGGGCAGATCTCAGTCTCTAGTCCCGCCCTTGAGATCTCCCAAATCTTCGTCGAGACTTCAGCCACGAAATCTCAGTCTTCCCGTCGCTCGGTGTGAGTTTCTAGAGGAAGCGCGTGAGATCTCAAATGGACAAGATTCCTTTTCGCTTTGGGAGTTTGAGATTTCGATGAGGGGTGGGAGAGACTGAGACTGCAAGCAAGAGAGATTCCGTTTTCGATGCAGAATGCTGTGAACTTCCTCAACCTTCCAACGCCTTTATCTCGCATCGTTCGAAAAACATCGCTTGCGGGACCACCGAAATCTACTCGGGCAGCGTGACTCGAGATTTGAGATTGAGACTGAAAGAGGCACGCTCGGCTTGCAATGCTTTGCGCCGCCGACACCGTCCATCTCGCCGCCGGCCTGAGGCGGTTCTCCACGAAGCTGCGGCCGCTCGAGAGTGAGGACGAGATCGTCGCGCTTCTCCTCGGCATGGCCCGCTACCCAGTCGACACACCCGACCGCGCAGAGCTCATCGCTGCCGACATGCAAACAAAGCACGCGTCCACGACCATCAACGTCCTCGTCAGCAGCATCGAGAGCGAGGCGGGCATCAGCGCTCTCGTGGATCTTCTCGACCGCAAGCGCTTCCATGAGCAGGAGAAATCCACGCCGCTCCACCTGGTCCCGCAGATTGAGTTCTGCGCCGTCTGCGCTTTGCAAGGGCAGAAGGTGTGCCTTGTGGTCAGCGACGAGCCCGTCCATCCGACCGTTGTCTGCACGCACGGGCGCTTTGGCGGGCTCCTCTACTGCAAGCGCTGCCCAACTTGCCGCGCCAAGCACAACCTCTCATATGCCGAGGAGTCTCGGCTGGCTCAGGGCAAGCAGGTGCCGTATGACGGCGCGATGGATCAGACTCGCAAGTACGTCCAGCTGTCGCGAGACATCATCTTTGAGGGCGAGATGCTGTGGCGCCTCGACACGCAGATGCTCCACTCGCACACCGGCTTTGAGCCGTACGCCAAGGAGTGGACGACCTTTGCCGACGAGCCGCCGCAGCTGGTCGAGCCTTTGCGGATAGCGCTGTCCCACGCCTGGCTCGCGTGGACGCTCCTCCGCTGGCGCGACGAGCTCCAACTACCCAAGGAGCCGCTGAGCTTTGCGTCGCCCACCCACCTCGACGAGACCTTGCTAGACTACACCATGCGTCGCGACCCAAAGACCGGCCGCTTCGACGCTGACTCGCTCATCGTTGCTTCGCTTCACCGACAAGTGGGGAAGGGAGCACGAGCTCGTCTGCCTCGAGCCCAAGGACGGCGGTCGAACCTGCTTGTGCTACATCATTGACGGACACATGAAATGCCGGAGGCTGATCTGCGAGAACAGGCGATTCGAGCCGTGAATCAGGGAAGTGTCGCGGACTCGTCTCAACAAGCGTCCATGTTTCTGTAGGAACGCTCGAGTCGTCCACCTCGGTGCACTAGCCACCTACTGGTAGCCCCGCCCCTATACAGTATTCCGGTTTGCAATGTCCTCGTTCCTGTTTGCAATATCCTCGTTCGCGGCATCGGCTAAAGCCTCTCATCTGATTCGGCGTAGACCGCGCGCGCAGCGCGCTCCGTGTTTGCAGACCGCCCTGGCGGACTCGTTTACACTTCCAAGCTCAGGCCAGGCGCCGCAGGCCATAAAGAGGAGCGCAGATTAAAATGGCGCCGCAGGCTCCCCGGGCCCCAAATCTTAATCTCAAATCTCAATCTCAAATCTCAGACCCAATCTCCCGGGCCCCAAATCTCAATCTCAAATCTCAATCTCAAATCTCAGACCTCAGACCTCAATCTTCCTGCAGGTCAAACCCACCCAGCCCTTCTAGAAGCTTCGAGGCTCTTATCAGTATTCACACCGCAAATCTCCAAATCTCAGCTCTCAAATCTCTAGGTTGGAAGGCCGTCCAAATCTTCAGTCTCAAATCTTGGATCTCGAGCAAACTCGACCGCAGATTCCTTTTGGTGTGGGAAATCTCATTCTCCAAGTCTCTGGTCTCTAATCTCAAAGTATCCCACCGGAGGCCGAGTGACTGAGGTCTCAAGTCTCAAATCTCTGGTCTCAAATCTCTGGGTAGCACTGTAGACCCGAGTGGAGTCTTTCAAATCTTTAAGCTCTCAATCTCTAAAAAAGACTAGAGATTTCCATTACTCAATAGTTGCAATCCCCAAGAGAGTACCGCGGACAGCACCCACCCTCCTCGTCCCACATGAGTCTACCCCTAGAACCCCCTCCCGGGCCACACTGCTTTCACAGACAAGAACGAGAGTGCGACAAGCGACACAGCCCCTCCCATGCCCCCCCAACGGCGAGTCGTCCGGCCGCGGCGTGCGCGCTACGAGTACTACCAGTACTGCGAGAGCCACTCGCCCAAACTCTTCTCCTTGGAGATTAGCTCCCGCTCCGGCTGGCCCCGTTGCCGAGGCCCCTCCGCCGGCCGGCCTGCGGCGCTGGCCGTCTCCGCCGCCTGCCAAGTGCCAAAGTCGCCAGGCGTCCCCTCGGCGAAGATCTCGGGGTTGATCTCGCCAGGGAAGGAGAAGAGGAACTCGAACTGCAGCGGGAAGGCCACCTACGGCCACGGGCGCGAAGCGTCGAGCTGCGGCGTGCGTGTGCGCCAGAGAGGGGGGGGGGGGGCGGCGGGGGGCTCCCGGGCCGCGCCTTTTGGAGGAAGCCCTGGCATGCGCGCGTGATAATCGAGCGCGGGCCGACGTTTGCGAGGCGGGGCGGCAGGCCCCACTGCAGGTCGAGCGGCGGCTGGTACTGGAAGAGAAAGGCGGACGAGATGCGGCTGAGGCCCTGCACGGCGGCGGCGCGTAGGACTCGGTTGTTGTTGTACCGGCGGAGCCCCCCCGGGATGGAGTCGGTCTTGGCGGAGTAGTCG